ACTCGAGCCCGGTGCTGTTGCGGTTATGGGTCATATTACAGAGGTGCCACTTCTTCTCTGGCTGCTGCAGAGCTTTGCCCAAACTGAGATAACCATCAGGGTAAGACACTGGCATTGTCCAGGCATGAAAAAGTTGTTGCATTATGGGAAATGTAGGATCCAGTGTTTCTGGAGCTTGACTAATACGGACTAGAAGTGAGAATATCTCAGCCTCTTCTGCAGCAATTTCATACCTTCAGTTTTGAATTCAACTTCGATTTTTATCAATTAGATAAAATAACTTAATTTCATCAGTTCTCAGGAGAGACGGGCTCTACTTTTCCTCACCTCGAGTGATGCATTGTTTAAAACCATGCGCAGTGTTGGTGTTTACCTCTTTGACGTGAGCATGCAGCTCCTGGTTCAGGTCCCTGAGGTTCCTCATGGTCAGCTCATTCTCTGTGCGCATCATGATCCGCTCCATGTGGATCTCATTTGATAAGTACTTGTTTTCTTTCCTCAGATCCTCGCATTCCTGGAGAAAGTTTATATCGACACTGACCGCTACTTTGCCAGTAAGAAATTCCTCATTCCCACATTTTTTACACATTTATCAAAGCAAATAATACATTTTTATTCTTAACATCAACCAAAACTCAACCATTTTAGCTTGTATGTTATAGTTTGATGAATATTTAAACTCTGTGATTAAGTGATTAAGGTAGTTGAGAAAGCAAATGGAATCCAGCAAATGTCCAGTTGTCATAAAATATCAAACACTTTAAAGACGACTACAATTTAATGACAACTGGGCAAACTCCTCTGGTGATGAAGATCATGAGATATGATTGAAAGCCCCAGTATAGATGGACTTTATAGATGACTACCTAAATGACTTCAGCAACTCAACATATTCTCCACCAGAGGGAACCGTTAGCTGCCAGGTAGCTTTTGCTCACATTCATGTTTTCCCAACATGTGTTTGTAATGATAGGATGTCAACACCTGATCCGTGTTGTGGAGACAACCACGTGCACAGCAGCACAACGGTAACGCAAGGGAGGTGCTTCATGTCACCGACACCACACGGGCCAGACGGGAAAATAATGCTGTGCATTGTCACGTTCACGGGGAACAAGAGGGGGCTGGAGTGCGGTTGATAAATGCACCGCATGTGTTTTAGGGCACAATGTCACATCTGCACAGCAATTTGATCATTTGCATTGGTGCACACAACCAGACCTATGATTAGACATGTCCTGTTCGGGTATGTGTCGGGTTGAGTAATCTCCTCACGGTACATTCTGTTACACCTATGATGATGTCATGTGTACAGGAAGGCATTTCTTTTTTATTTAAATAAATGACTTCTGAGATTCACCTCATAATTATGAATACAAAAGTAATAATTCTGTGATTAAGTCAGGATTGGGAAGTTAAAATCAGTGTTTTGAGAGGAGGAAATATATTTTAGGATGTAGTTTGAGCCCAGGATTTCTCTCTTTGTTTCTCTCCTGGCCCTCATTTCTTTCTGTATTATGCTTTTATTAAAACAAGACGTGTACAAAACGTCAATTCTTGTGAATGTTGAAAGTTTTATGCACATTGAAACCAGCTAAAAATATCTTCCAACATTTCAGGCCAAAGATAATATGTCACAGGTGAGCATGGTATTAAACGCAGATCTGTCACTTTTCAAAACAACTGATGGCAACGACAAGTTATGCTGTCCCAGATCTGCTTGTGGTCACAATATTTTCTGTTTGTCTCATCTCAGTGAGTGTAATTGATTCAAACAATGTTCTCTTTGCGATTGTTTGACTTTAGTTCCAGTTGAACTCACCTATTTTCTTTCATATGGGATCATTCTACACTAAACTTCTATGATACTGAATACCCCTGTTGGATCACTTTCATATTTCTGTCACATTTCTGAGTTTAGTTGTAATATTTCCACAGCGCCCCTCTAAAATAACTACGTGAATACAATATTCTTCCTATAGTAAAGTTGACAGACTCTCTGAGGATGCTTGCACCTCTCCTCTCCTCTCCTCTCCTCTCCTCTCCTCTCCCTCCTTACCTTCCTCTTTCTAACCAGCTCTCCCTGCAGGTGGTTGATCTGGAGGAAGGAGCCATTGGAGCTGATGGCGCTGAGCGGCCGGACCGCCCTCACGGGCCTCCTGGTCGGTCTGCAGAGACCCTTGACCTCCTCCGCTGTCCCGTTCCCGAGCCGGCCGCCTCTGTTCACGTTGCTGCTGCTCATGGAGAAAGACTTGTACAGGCCGTCGTCGAACGAGGACCTCAGAGCCGTCTGCAGGTCCGTGTGGGATTTGGCCCTGAGTGACATTTTGTCAAAATGTCACCTTCGCCTTTAATTGTGACGATGCTCAGCGGGGGGAGCTCCCGGTTTGTGTTCAGAATGTGATGTGAATGAAGTTCTCGGTTTCACGTCGAGCTCACTGGGGCGGATCCTATCACCAATTATTCATGAGGTAACGCGATAGGACAAACCTGCACGGGACAGACACACAGTCTCTGCTTTGTAGTACGCATTTTGACTTGAAACCTTCACACGCTTAGTCAGATCACTCAACATTGGTGGCATATTCTCAGACTCCCGGGCCAAACTTCATGTCTTCTCAGGTAACACAGGGTAGCGGGGGCACAGAGGGGCGGGGCAGGGCTAGTGGTGGCAGGAGGTCTTTTGTTCTGCCTTTATGACAAAATTGGTATCACTTATTAAGTCAAATAACAGATGCAGGATACAGATGTGTGAGGGACATTTCTTCGCTATTACTGCTTTGCTATTTGAAGAAGTACGGAAAGCCAAAGGTGACATTACGTAGTCGTTCGACTTTGACATTGAGGACCACCGTTCATCCCGTCTCCCGTCAGCGGTGGTTTCTTTTTAACCATGACCACAATCTTTCCTTAAACTTAGGGAGGTAGTTTTTGTGCCAAAGTCCGACCAAATCTGAACTATTTAGTGGCAGCAGACCTGAAGAGGGTCATATGATCCTATCTCAATTATTACATGATCACTGCTAGAAGGGAATTCTTTTGTTGCCATGATTACAACCAAACTAAATGTATAAATATGGCATATTTTGCATTTCATACAAAAGTACTGCCTCCCCAGTCTGGTCTCTGGTCTTCCCAGACTTGCTCATCCCTCATGCTGCTGTTAAGGTGTTCGTATACCTATGGAAAGTAATACACTATCATTTGTATATATCCAACATAATCGTGAGCAGAAACCACAAGTCAACGTTAACTTATTTGTCACGACATTTCTTTTAACCCAAACCACAATCTTTTCCTGAACCCGATCAAGTAGTTGTGTTGCCTAAACAACAGGCCCACTGATCACTCTTGAAGCTGGACGTAATCGATATCAATAATACATTTCATGAACTGAATATACATATCTTTGCAACTTGTTCACGACTAAGAGAAAACAGAAAAACAGACAATCAGGAAAAGTATTTGACAGTTCTGTCTGAGGAAAACATAAACAAGTGTTTGTGATTCGCTCGGGATCAGTGACCTGAGAAAAACAGTTTCAATAACAACTTCCTTTTGTCCCTGAGGGCGACTCTCAGTAATGAGGCCGCCAATTGTCACACATCTATGAATGAATTATTCCCGTCTCTCTCCGTGGATGAGTTAAGACTTCCTGACCAGGAAAATGTGACCAATTGTCTTCTCACTAACAGCCCGGCCCGAGTCATCCATGCCGCAGCCGGTAGCAGAGGGGAAGCTCCCTGACTCACACGATAGTCACTCACGTCATGAGTCATGAAAGTAGGGCACGCTGTGCTCCCCCGTGCATGAAAACATCCTCTCTGTCAGCATGTGACTGTAAATACAACAGAGAAGATCCATCGTGATGCTAACGGGCCTCTCCCACGGTCGGGTTTCCTGAGAAGCATGCAGGCTTTTCATCCAAAGTCCCTGGAATATAATGTCAAATATTAAGGGTTCATTTCGAAAGAAACAGAGGAAACATTGTAGAACTACAGACCATCTTGCTAAAGGCTCACACCAGCCATGACGCCAAATTGCTCCTTCCCCACTTCCTACCGCGCTATTTCTGGCGCCCTTTCTTCGACCGCTTATCTTCGGTCTCGCCCTTCATGTTAAACTCGCATCTAAAAGTTTCTCAAATGTACTGTTAAGTCTTGCACGGTTGTGACCCAAATGCGGTGACAAAGATCTGTCCACAGACGTATCACCACCTGGCAAACACACGCACAGACTCACGAGGTGGAGACAGTACCAGCCACGTGCTGTCGGGGCTGGCAAACATACCACAGCTTAACATGATTATAGAGAAGAAGAGTATGAGTGAAGAAGAAGAGTATGAGTGAAGAGGAAGAGTATGAGTGAAGAGGAAGAGTATGAGTGAAGAGGAAGAGTATGAGTGAAGAGTATGAGTGAAGAGAAAGAGTATGAGTGAAGAGGAAGAGTATGAGTGAAGAGGAAGAGTATGAGTGAAGAGAAAGAGAAAACACGCAGGGACAATGTGGAGGAAGTTCTCTTTCCGACGAGCCTGTCAGAACAAACACAACTCTGGAAGGCAGGTGCTGGCTAAGCAGAAAAACTCCAAACCTTAAAAAACAAAACAATTTTCAAGTATATGTCTTCATCCGTATTTGGCTGAGAAGGCCAGTTCCATAAAGAAGTATGAAGCAAACAGCCAACATGACTGATTGTTAATTATTTGTTCATTTCAGAACACCAGTTGAAGTTAATGTGACCTGTCATCCTGCTTCAATATTTCCTGGAAATCCTCAATCCGTTTGTACTTGTAACTAGTTTATTGTTGAACGTGCAGCATACATCTATCCGTCACTCGACACCCCAAAACAACAACGTTTGGAATCAAACGCACTGAGAGTCGAGGTCCTTCTGTGGACGTGTGTGTTATCTCGTAAAGGGGCATCAAGCAGATTTGAACCCCCTCTTCCTGTTTCCTCGTCTCATTTGTTCTGGGGCATTTCCCTTTGCGTTCGCTTTATTTGCTTCCTCTCCTTCAACCGCTTCAGTTATATGTATATTTTTATTGAAAACATGGCAAGATTTAGTTTTTTTACTCGATGCTTACTTTTGTCTTTTGCAGCCTGTTTGCTGGCGTCCGACTGCAATCCAATTAAAGGTGAGTGGTTATGTTTCTGATGTAGGTGAGGCAACACAATTATGTATTTCATTTAGATTGATGTTGCTGCTGCATGAATGTATAACGATGTAATTCATTTAATGTTGTCATGCATGACCTCTAATGGAGAAGGGAATATGTTCAGGACGCTTTGGCTCAAACTTCTGCGCTCTTCTTGCTTACTTTTCATGCGCCGTTAAAAAATGTATTCTGTGTTCACAGTCGGCTAAAAGTTTCAAGAATGCATGAAAAATGTGAAAGCATCAGATGTCACCATGAGTTAAATGTGGAAAATATCAATTATTAATCACATTGTTACGTTTGTCGTTGTTGTTTTTGTGCCCACAGTACTATGGGTTAACCTGTGGCCTATGTGCACCAATATTATGGATATTTACTTGACATCAATATGTACTGTAAAGTGTGAAATTATAAAAATGAACACACATCCTGCTGCTTTTTAAAGGATAAAGTCACACATGTATACACTGCGTAGATAAGCTTCAGTCCAGAAGTGATATTGTTGTTGGCAACAGAACGCTTGGTAAGATCTGACATGCTGATGTTGTCGCATACTTTTTTAATATCTGTATTTTTTCGTTACAAAACGTCCGCAGTCCCACAAAGTCCCAGAGCTGCTGGAGTCTTCTTGCTTATCGAAGGAGGAGAATACACGTTCAACTTCACGGCTGCCAGAGCGGCCTGCCTCATCCTGAACGTCACCATAGCGTCCAGAGCCCAGATGGAGCGAGCAGTCCGGCGCGGACTGGAGACGTGCAAGTAGGCTGAAAGCGTGTGGTGACTGGTGTGGACCCATATGCAGTGTTGGAGATTTCTGCTGACTGCTTTTTAATGGGAAAAGAAAGCCAACGCTTTGATCTGAATCAATTATATTTATGTAATAACTGTTACGTGATTTATCAGATTTCATGCAACTCCCTATGAAGCGCAACATTTTTCCACACATGCAGTTGTACTTTCCAAGAACATACATAGAAACATACTTTAAAGTCATTGACCGCACAGACGCTTATTTTCACAAACCAAGCTAAAACATTTCATTTTTTTCAACAATCCATTAATATGATTGTTCACACTTTATTTACTGCGTTAACAGATTTGGCTGGATAGCTGAGCAGATCGCAGTCGTCCCACGACTTACAACTGACAAAAAATGTGGAAATGGAAAAACTGGTGTGGTGACGTGGTCCGCAAGTGCAGATAGAAGGTTTGGTGTCTTCTGCTTCAATGCATCAGGTAGTGTTTATTACCTGTACTCTATACTGGTTATACTCTCAACTCTTAATTCTGATTGTAAAATTCTTACTATTATACAAATATTACCTTTGTTATTTGTATGTTGGAATGGAAATACCAAAATCCGTCAGAGAAACAAACATGGAAAACATTTTTAAGACCTGCGGGAAAATCGGTAGTGATCTGTACCACCGGTACCATACAGTAGTGGACTCAGGCTGTATGAGGGTCAGGGGCAACAAAAAAACACCAGCGTGCAGAAAGATTTCTCGTGTGTAGGGCCGCTTAGATGGCACTGCTACGTGTTGTATCCTTTTAAGGGCACTCATTAGTGCACTGCATCTTGTTTTCTCCACTGGATGGGTACCCTAGGGGCACTTTATCATGTTGTATCTACCATAGGGGCATCCAAGAGGGCACTTCATCATGTTTTCTCCACTGGATAGGCACTTCATCATGTTTTCTCCACTGGATAGGCACTGTTTTATCATGTTTTATCTACTGCAGGGGCATCCAAGAAGGAACTTTTGCTGCGTTTCTCTCGAACATCTTTTGTCTCCGTTGTTCTGTGTTTTAATTGTGTCTGTCTTGTGTTTATTGTTTACTGTGCTGTGCCACAAATTGCCCCTTTGAGGACATTAAAGGTTTCTAAGTCTAAGTACATTCCCATGTCACTGAATGACTGACATGTAAATGTAAACCTTTTGTTCCTCACCACCTGCAGATTTAAAGGAAACACCAAACAGATCAACAGCCTGTCCACAAAGCTCCACCCTCCCCACCACACTGACCCAGACCTCAACACCTTCGCTCAGATCAGCAACCAAGTCTCCACCTTCAAGGAAGCCATTAACCACAAAAGCTCCTGAGCAGACATCTTTCACTTCAGCCTTCATTCTCCTAATCAAGACGACACATTCAACTCAGATGTCCTCCACCTCCCCCACTCTAAAGCCTTCCTCCACTCATATTCCTACCTCTCTTTCTCAACTTATCAAATCCAAACCCACCGCCGTCAGTTTTGTCTTTTCTACCTCTGTTCGTGCCTCCAGTTTCTCTCCTTCCTCTGAGTCAGTGATGCCACAGCTGACGAGCTCTGCAAGACCTCCACTGGGAAGTACGTCCTCGTCTTTAAGTTTTTGTTTGAGGTTTTATGTACCAAGAAGAGGCACAATGCTCTGCTCTAATTAGCTTATTTATGCCTTTATGTTGTTAAAATCAAAGTCCAGCAACCTGTTCACAGTTCAGTTTAAAAGTCATTTTTTTATTCTGAGAGTAAATTTTGTGTTTTTATCAGACGTTTTCCCTGTTTTACCGTAATTATAACCGATCCTTTACCTGAATGAAATGCCAACCTAAAAGCTGCAATAATCCCATTTTAGCCACTAGGGGGCAGACAAGACGTCACAATAAGATGATGCACAAATAAAACCTTTAAAAAGCGTTTAAATACTTTTGTTAAGCAGGCCAATAATGATTAATGTCTAAAACACACAATCAATTCAGGTAAAAACACAAATTACCGATGGATGTAAAAAATGCAAAGAAAAATATGAATAAACAAAACAAAAAATATCTATATAAAGCGTTGATACGGTTCACAATAGATTGATCAAGCTAGATTGTAGTAGATAGTGGAACTACTATGTTTAACTACCAACTATGAAGTAACTAGTTGTGTATTGTTGTGTATCGTTTGTCTATTTTTTATGCAGAAATCACATAATTAATATTGGGATGACATGCAATGAATTTTGCAACATTTTGTTTATGAATTCAACTTTGTTTTGCTTGTAGCTGTGTAATGTAAATCAGACAGAGTTTATGGTAATCATTTCTAAACGTTTTTTTTATTTCTCCAGATGTTCCCACAGCACTCATCATTCTTGGCGTCATCGTTCTGCTCCTGACAGCAGCAGGCGTCGTGTGGTACTACAAACTGTGAGTGGTGTTGTCAGACGTCCTGCATTCATCGAAACACTGTCTGGAGAAGCATTCGGTGAAACATGTATGACAATGATTTGTGAACAGAAACGGGCTGCTTGAAGTATGAAGGCAAACTAAAATAATTTGATCCTGGAGTAGAGAAAGAGTCTCTGCAGAGCTTTACTGTCAATACTGACTAGAGGCAACTCAAGTACTACTGTCTGTGTACTTAATACTTTGTAGCAGGAGGCTTTTACCAAACTGATACCAGAGAGGAACATTGTCTGAAAACCTCATTAATGTTTCTACTGAGTTGAATGTGGTTTTAAAATCTGTGTTTATTGTGTTTTTTAATGTGCATTTGTTTTCTCTCTGCTTTTGGAAAAGGAATATTTTCACCTTTTGGTCTCAGGAGCTGCAGAAGGACGACATAGAGACAGAGATGTGGAAGCACTCCGACAGCGAGATGGACCTGCACAGTCAACATGAAGGAGAAGAAGAAGAATCAGACAGGAAGTACTCCAGTGACATCACTCTGTGTGTGAATCCAGACTTCAAAACAAACTCTTCAGAGTAGATGCACTATATTTCTTTCATCAAATGAATTGCAGCCACAATGTTTTAAATAAATATATTTTAAATGCTTTAGTAGGTTTCAATTACTTTAAATGTAATTGTAAATATGCATATTGTTTGTTTGTGTGTAGAAACTCATGATTTTCCCTTTACATGCATGTAGTTCCCTATTTTTAGTGGCTAATTATCAGTGGTGTAAATAAATAAAGTAGTATGTACAATTTCGAGGTACTTGTACTGAACTTGAGTAATTCCATTTTATGTTACTTTATACTTCTACTCCACTACATTTCAGAGGGAAATATTAAGCTTAACTTCACAACATTCATTTGATAAATGTACTTACTAGTTTGTCTTCACTCTACAGCTGCCAATCTTTAACACAGAATAGTAAACCAAACTCAGCTTTAACATTAAAGCGATGAACATATTAATAAATCAATAATTATAATCCAGTATCTATATCTTTCCTAAGTGAGCCATTCTGCATAATGACGGGTTTTACATTTGGTACTTTAATTATATTTTGATGCCAATACGTTTTTAACTCAAAATAAAGTAAAAGTAACGTTAATACTTGACTTCAGTATTTTCATACTGACTGTACTGGACCAGTAGACATGTAGCTTGTTTGATTTTCGGTACTGACCGGCTATAGTGTATAAACCTGGTTGAATTCAGGTATTGAAAAGTAATACAATCATACTGTCATGAAAAAAAATCAAAACAAACAAAATAAAACAACAAAAACAGAAACATGTTAGTTTGAGCATTAAATTACAAGCTTAATTTAAGCATTCCGCTAAAATACTGTATCAGAGGTGTAATCAGAGAGATCCCACCACCACACCGCACAGTGGCGCTGATGAGCCATTTGATTGTTTGCGAATCTACAAAAAAAGAAGAAGAAGTGTGTCACGTGACCAGAAATCCACATCCGTGCTGCTGCTCCGATGCTAACAGCACACCGTGGGGCAGTGCGCGCTCTGCAGTAAACGTTACCGGCAGAGGGTTTAATACAACACACAACAATGCGACGTCTGGGCTCCGTTCAGCAGAAGATACCGTGTGTCTTTCTGACGGAGGTGAAGGAGGAACAGTCGAGGAAACGGGACTGTCAGGTGAGTGATTTATGAACACCTGATGCTAGCATGAAGCTACACCTCAGGGTGGACATGAACACAGAGGATGTAAACAAACAACACGTCCATTGTTGTCATAGCAGACACGGCGCTGGGGACATTGCTAATGGTTTTAACATGTTCCCCTCTCGGAAGTATTGAAGCTTGTGTTGCCATTCATCACATCCTCCCTTGCCAGTACCTCAGGTGTCAGAGCTCAGATCTTTTACTGAACAGAAACCTGAATGTTGGATAAAGAAAGGTTCAACATTCTTCATTCATCTTTGACATTTTAGAGTCTGAGGTTTGTACAGATATCTCTTTGAATCACTCTAATAAATCAGAACGTTATGCCCACAGCCATAACAAAACAAAACATTTCCTCCATGTTTTTAGTGATAAAATGTTGCATAAATCAGGTTCTGAATGATGTATGAACAAACTCCTCAGTAGAAACCTTCAGAATAAAGAGAGGAATGAAGCTGTACAGTTTGGTGTATCTAAGAGCTACTGAGGTGGAGATTTCTGGATCAGGGTGAAGACACTACAGTTGAATAGGGTAAAAAAATAACTTGTAGATATGAACATTAAACTTCCTCAGTTGATTACTTACTTTGGATGAGAGGTTTTGTTTAATTATGCAAATGAGGCGTTATCTACTGCTAGTTATTGGTGACTTAAGACAACATCCACCGATGTAAATAGTGAAAGTAGTGAAGTAAACACCTGAATGTGTACTTCTTTATGTTTTCTCTCCACTAGTCTATAGAAGATGTGTTTAGAAGCAGAAAAGCCGAAAATCTTAAAAACTGACCGACGCAAGTGAGAGATTAAAAGCACTCAGTATGCAGACTGGCCCATATCGGAGTAATGCATATTATGTTATATTATAGTTATCGATGTATTCATGCGTTCATTGCTTTACTGTTGCAGGTGGAGCTAAGTTTAATTATCATACTGCTGGGTAGCTTTTGATCCCCAGAATAATGTGGTGGTGAGACTGATACAGACAGAAAGGTACTTCTCTCTCTTATCATGCCTGCTTTGTTTTGAGGTGGAGGCTAATGTTAATAATTCCTTTATAAAAACTATTTCATTATAAATAAATAGTTAATATTGTAAAGTAGCCGGCTGGACTTGAATGAGTGGAAAGCTCTGCATCAGCTTAAATAGACCAATGCATCAATTATACATACTCTCTAACACCGAGCATGAAACCTGGTTCTACATCTACAATAAATGGTTTAATCTATGAATTATGTTTTTCCACTTATGTTGAAACGTCTGTTTGTCTCTTCAGCAGTTCCAGGTTGTTGCCACAGAAAACGTGAACCCTGTTGCTCTGGAAGCCGACGTTGATTGTGCCCTCGCCACGGAGAAGCTCGACGGCACATGTTGTTATGTTACGCTTTATAAAGGTGAGCATCTCTCAGGACCATAACCACCAGTCACGCTCTCTTGGGCAAGGCACTGGAGGGGCTGTACCTGCAATATGCAGAATGTTTTCTCCTGTACAAATACAATTAAAGACATTTTAAACATGACATTACTTAATATTTTTATTTATATTCAGTATGTTGTAAATTCTATACACGTTGATCATAAAAAGCATCATATTAATATCCTATTTCTATGAAAAGGAGGAACGATGAAGGTAACTTCATTGATCATTTTGTTAATTTTCTCTCAGTGGTCATGACTCAAAGGTAACGATGTTTCCTCTTTGTCCTGCAGGACGAGCTCACCTCTGGGCTCGACTGGACAGGAAAGCCAACAAACAGGCCGAGAAGAGGTTCAGAAAGCATCAGCGTTCTCCCCACAGCGGTAAAGGTATCCGAGCTTCAGTTCCAGAACTACACGTTCACTCTAGTTTATTGGATCCTCATTAGCTGAAGCGCTGCAGCAGCTTCTCTCCTCCTAATGATAATAATAATAATGCCTTCTATTTGTAACACACTTTTCATTTAAAAAAATCTCAGAGTGCCACAGAGCCAGTACATAGTTAAAACATAGTTAAAACAAACTATAATAAAATAACTAGTAAGCATAAAAAAAACTGAATGAACAGAAACACAAAATAAATAACTGACAGTGATTTAGCACAAGGTCAGAAACGCCTTCCTGAATAGAAAGTTTTTTAGGCCAGTCTTAAAAGAGACCAGTGTCTGTGTTGCCCTTAGTGGTCAGGGAGACTGTTCCATAGGCATGGAGCTGCCGAGCCAAAGGCCCGGTCACCCATGGTGCGGAGCTTGGTGTTGGGGACCCGGAGGAGCGAGCTGTTTGAAGATCTGAGGGTGCGGGTGGAGGTTTGGGGAGTGATGAGTTCTTGTAGGTAGGGAGGTGCGTGTCCATTTATGCATTTGTGTGCGAGTAGTAGGACTTTGTAGTCAATCCGGAATGAGACAGGGAGCCAGTGTAGTGAGTGCAGAATGGGTGTTATGTGCTCATACTTCCGGACTCTCATCTTGGTCCACAAACTAAGAGTTTACATTGTGACAATGCAACCATTACAAACTGTATCATAACCATACAGAATAAACGGGACAGTGTAATACATGTTTTAATCTCTTAGTGTGGACATTACATGTCAGACGGTTGCTTTATTTCTTCAGGGAGGTTAAACTTGTTTATTTTTGTTGTTTTTTTCAGGTTTCACGTGGAACGTCGAGGAGGATTTTAAGACGGTGCCAGAGACGTGGATCCCAGCGCACAGAGTCAAACATCACAACGACCTCCCAGTGCCCGATGAACATGGACACATTCCAGGTCCTGAAGTTAAACCATCACACCTCAATTTAAATAAAGATAGCCTTTGAAATTATGAAATCAGTTTTACTGCAAGTGTGTCACTGCAGAACACAGTAGCAGGAGATTTTAATGTAGCAGTACTTTAAATTCCCAAACATTAACACCAGTAAAGAGAACCAACGACCGTGTTTCATTTTCAGTTTGGGTTACGTTCCGACTCAATCGGGTAGGGGTCTGGCTTGGCTTGCGTCCCTGACATGAACCAGCCTCGTCTGAGATGGACGGCATCGCGCTGAAACACGTGTCTTCCGGTTTAATTAAGGGCATTCATTTTTACGGATTTTGTTATTCTACAGTATTTTTGCGTGTTCTTTTATTTGTTATTGAATAAGAAGCATGTTCCAAAAGGTTTGGAGCATGTTTGTAATCTCGAGGGGTTAAAAAATTATATTAATTGAATATCCGAATACCAAAATCAAAAACCGAAAACCTACCCAAACGAACAACTAACAGAACATTCAGGTCCGAGTGGAAATGTTTGTTTCTGTCGTCGTGGATGATGCTGCCTGCTCTTTCTGTCCAGGCTGGGTTCCGGTGGAGAAGGACAACAAACAGTACTGCTGGCATGCCTCCGTGGTGGATTGTGACGTGCGGGCGGCTCTTGTTCTCAGGCCCTGTGCAGAAGATGAAGACGTGCTAGAAGTTGCAGCGGTCCAGTTGGCCGTCCTCCTGGAACAAACCCTGGAGCTCATTGGAACCAACGTCAACGGAAACCCTTATGGTAATGCATGGGTGCTCCTTTTGCAAGAGCTTTCACTGCTCTTCTGCTTTCACCTTCACGCTCCAGAGGTTTTTTCTGACAGTAAGTGGGCGGACCCAGTCACCTTTATATCACTGAATGTAATCGGTTACAATCTTCACAAAAACTTCGTATGCCATGAAAATGTCATCACAAAAAGTCATACTGAAGTTTGCCATAAAATGTCACAGAAATTTCCCCCAAAAAGCACAATAAACAAACAGACACCATAAAAGGACACACATGGCTGTTCAGTTCCCCAGAATAAGAAGCCATGTTGTCCCCACAGGACTGGGCAGTAAGCAGCAGCCCGTCCACTGTCTGGTGTCACACGGCAGTGTTCCAATCAGAAACCCTCCACCTGTAGACTTCCAGCAGCTGTGCTCCTGGTTCCAGGAGAGTCCAGAGGGCCGAGTCGAGGGCATCGTCTGGCACTGCAACGACGGCACACTCATTAAGGTAAGAGACTCGGAGAGTTGATCCAGAGGACTTCTGGAATCTTTATTTTGGCCGTTGTCTCCAGGTTCATCGTCATCACCTGGGGCTGAGGTGGCCAGACGGGGAAACCTCCCTCGCTGAGCGGGCGGTGGTCGTTCGCGTTGGCGAATACAACAACAGCAAGGACTTGTTCTCATTCTTCTCCGTACTAAACGGACACCGTTTCAGTCGACTGCGGGACGTCAAGTTTGCTTTGTGAACACAGTACGAGACAACTTGCAGAAATGTGTAGAAAAGAACTGACCAAGCTGACAACTGGTGTAGTTTTAACAGTCCTGACGTCATTTAAAGGCACAGTAACCCTGAGTTAACTGACGGACACATTGGGAATTTCAGCTTTTACACCGAACTGATCGCAAACCTTCTTCAGCTGTTCCTCCAGCAGAATGTTCTTCTTCACCTCTAAATTGTAGTTGTATTTTAAGTCTTCGATCTCTTCAAAAAACGTCGGGTCGAAGTTCTCCAGTTCTTTCTTCAGCTTTTTAACCTCAGTCTGAAGTTTGGTTTTCTCTGTTTCGGCTGCATGCAGGATGCGTTTGAGCTTTGCGTGGTCTAAGAATAGAAAACATGCAGCTCATCTATAAACTTCACCTCTTCAGCGTTGGATTACAATCAGAAGCAACATTTGCAATAGTGTGTTCGTGGTCACCTGGTGTAGAAGACGTTTCACCGTATCGCTGGCTGTACTCGCCCAGCCTTTGGTTCAGTTCTGTGTTCTCCTTCTCCAGCTCAGTGTTCCTCAATCTAAGACAGTCACAGGATGGGGATTATCGTTATCCACCATCTAAATGTGTACACTGCATTCCCACAATAAACTATTTCCACAGTAAAGTTGACTTCTGTATAACTTTTATAACACATTTAACAGACCTCATTGCCTGGAACTCCTTGGTGAGTCCTCCTCCCTTTGCAGTGGTAGGAAAACTCTTCAACATGTCAACCTAAGAAATGAGAAACATTTTTATAAACCATTCATACAGCCCTTTTCTAAACATTTTACTTACTTCTTCTGCCACAAACACAAGCTGTACATTTAGACTTTAAGGAGGCTGTTTTCTTTAAAAGGAGAACTCCACCCATTTAACTGTCAAGACCACTCAATCAGCCAGAGAAGACAGAAAATTAGCCTCCATCATGTGTACAAGGTTGCCTCAGCTTGGACTTTAACAGAACGCATGTGTTATGAACTGGAGATTTGGGGTTTGAAAGAAGTAGGCAACCAGGCAGGGTTGCATTGTGGGAAGGGATCCAGGGAGCTTCTGCGCTTGTGTTATTAGGACTGAACGTCAGGACATCTGCTTCATTGAACTTAGCCTCATTAAAGTACATGCACCTGACTGGTGACAGTGAGTTAGCCTCATTAAAGTACATGCACCTGACTGGTGACAGTGAGTTAGCCTCATTAAAGTACATGACCTGACTGGTGACAGTGAGTTAGCCTGTACCTGATCTTCAAGTGTCCGGATGCTTCTCTGAGCTCTCTCCTCGCACTCTCTCATCTCCTTCAGCTGCTGTTTGAGTTCAGACAGACTGGAGGTCTTCTGGGAGAGCTCTTTCTCCAGCTCCTTCATCTTGTTCTCAAACATTCTGTGGATGGAAGTCAAACAACCACTGGCTTACACTCTGGAGACTGAATAGTTCTTCATTCTCCAACTGTCCAAACACTTCATTGAAACTTCAAAGCTCCTCAGTTTGTTCTGAACACCCACTACACTAATAATGGATAAAAAAACAACAGTTTGCTGACCTTGTTACCACAGAAGCCTTCCAGGTCTTACTGCTCACTCCTTCTGTGATGGGTTTGGAGAGAGCTGCCTGCAGTCTTTGCTTGGTTTCTTCCAGATCGGCCTCAAGCTTCTCGTTTGTCACTTCCAGACTTGCCTTGGTCTCTCTCAGCCTCTGTGCAGCTTCCATTTCCTAAAATGAAACCAGCACGTCCAGTACGGATAACAGAGATGAAAACAAGTGTTCAGAGGGTTATATTACACGTGAGAAATCCTTTAAACTTTAGACTTGTCCATATAAAGTACCTCCAGGACACACATCTTCAGCATTACAAACAGGCTATGAAAGACACTGCACACTTTGCATCATTTGACTATGTCTTGCACAACTAAGTTTAAAAAAGTATGTTTTATTTTTACCTTTTGAGTCTCATCAAAGACAAATTTCCATCACTTTGTGACCGACATAGTTGCCAAGATACCGAATCAAAATTGTTTATGTATTTTCTCAATCTAGTGACTAAATACTTTTCAATATGACTGTTTTTCATCAGAACTAGCTGAACACGAGTCGTCACCCTTTTGATCTCCTTGCGTAGACGTTCATTCTCTAGGACTATTCTCTGCAGTCCTTTGGTTTTAGACTCAAGTTTAGAAGTCAGCTCAGCTTCACTTTGACTCTTCAGTTTCTCACAGTCACCCTAGAAACAAAACAATATTTATGGTCAGCTGTGGAAACAGAATAGATAAGTTAACAGAATGTATACGAGACGTCAGACACGATGAGGTCACCAACCTTTAGTTTCTCATTTTCTTGCTCCAGGGCTGAGAACCTTTCTTGATTTGCAGGCGCGCCAGATTTCTTGAGTGTCTCATTTTCCCTCTGCACCCTCTCCACCACCTTCTTCATCAACCCGATGGTCTTCTCCAGTTCAGGTACTGTTTTACCACTGAGACCGGCCTGATGAGGAACACATTACAAATCACTTCTCTGATCTACAGTTGAGACAGGAGGAGGTTGGTGAATACCATTCCACCCTGAGCAGATCTGATGATATCCAATTCTGTGTTCATTCTTATTTCTTTCTTCTGGAGTTCTTTCATCTGACATATAGAGAAGTCTAGTTTTATTTCTTATTTCTGGGAGAATACTCATTAGTATAGAAAGAACAGGTGACTTTAGATAACTTACTCCACATATATAAGACAGCTTTTTCTCCCCCTCTGCTTTTTCCTTTTTCAGCGCGCTGCACAGCTCCTTCAGGTCTGCAACTTGATTCTGGGAAAAAATAAAATAAAATCATATAAAACACTCTTCGCCCCAAAACACTTTCTCTAATCTCAATAATATTGTGCTGTACCTTTAAGGGTAACCTCTGGGTTACTAAGTTGTTTTAAAGTTTGTAAAGTTATGATACTGAAATAAATGTAGACAAAGAAGTTTTATGAATGAAGTCACTCCCAACAGCAACATTTGATTATCATTATGTTTTAAATTTCCTCAAATATAAGAAGATACTGAATCTCATTTGGACAAATGCCCACAGCTGTCATTGAAGGGTTTTTAAAGAAAGAGATAATTTGGGAGATTTACCTTTTCACTTTCTTGGTGAGAGTCAGATGAGTGGATTAATATCACTCTTATATCTAAATATGGAGCTTCAGCCTCCAGCTGAACGCTAAGACAAAGAACAGTGGCTAACAGGTAGCCTGGCTATGGGGAAACCACTTGATCCTAAGCTAAGCTAAGCTAAGCTCCACCTTAATATTTACTCTCCAGACACGAGAGCGATATCGATCGTCTCATCTGACTCTCGGCATGACTGCGTCTCGATGGAGGTTAAGCTACCTTGAGTCTTGGCAGGTCTTTGTTGGTCTGCTCCAGCTGAAAGCGCAGCTCCAGGTTCTCAGAGGCCAGTTTGAGGTTTTCCTTTTGGAAGTCCTGATCCCTCTGTGAGGGAGTGCCGGTGCCTCGGCCTGAAGTCTACAGGAAGTAAAAGACATTTTATCAGCCTGGCGAACTTATGAAGCACCACGATGGGTGTAACACTGCTGCGGAGGAAAAGAGGGAATCTCCAAACACAAAAGCTCTAAGGGAGTGTAAAAGAACAGCTGACGGACATCTTTAGTCCATAACAAGCTACTTACTATTCACTTTAAATGAAGCTTTGCTCTGCCACATTTACCGCAATGCTACCACAACACTACCACTTCAGCTGGGTGACTACAGAAGCCTCGAGTACCTTCAGGTTTCTAAGAGATCTGCTCTCTCGTTTCTGTACGTGAGCATCGTGCTCTTTACTGATAAACCTCTGTGGGAGCTTGCTCAGTATGGAGCCGGAGTCCACATCTGGTTCTGCTGAGCGGGACGGCTCAGGATTACCTTCCTCTGTTACCCCCTTTGTAGTCTCAACCACTTCATCATTCAGCTCAGCCTGTTCCTCAGCCTCTTGTGGCTTTTCTTCTCCGGATCCTACGGGGTCATCTCGTTCACCAACACCCTCTTTATACGCGGTTTCAGCGGCGGTTGCTGTCGTGGCTGGCTCAGAGGATGACATAACTGATCCTGGTCTTCCTGAAGGATCCTCAGGTTCGGACTCACTTCCTTTCGTGGTCGGTGTTTCTTCCTCTTGTTCGACCACGTCCACTTCAGAACCAAATGAGACGTCTTGTGTAATTTCTAAAATATCCGCTTCATCTTCTTGAACATAATTGGTGTCCACATCCTCTTCTCCGGTCGGGTCTGCTGCTGTGTTTCCTGCAACATCAGGACTCAATCGTTCTTGTTCAGTGCAAACATCGTCTGCTCCACCAAAGCTGGTTTGGGTTTCTCTAGCTACCTGTCGGTCAGCAGAGTCTTCACCAGCTTCAGCAGGAGGGGGTGCTGCATTCCCTTTGCATGAGCCATCCCGAACATCAAAAGTGACAGAATAAATCCCTTGTGAAGGCCAAGAGGAGAAGCTGTTTGCCTTCACAGGCAATCAACCAGATTAAATCCAGTGAAGGAGAACCATAAAGAAAGAAAGTAAAGAGTGATGAATGGAGAGGTACCAGAATCTCTGGCAATAGAACAGCGACGCATCATACAAAGAGGTGACGTGTGAGTTATTGTAATGCATAGGGCTGAAAATAATGACAGTTTTCCTTATCAATGAACCCAAGTTCATCTTTCAATTATTAAATCGATTCATTGTTTAGTCTACGAAACAAAGACAAGAAAAATGCCCATCACAAGCTCCAAGAGCCAAAGTTGGTGCATTCAACGAATGCCTAGAATATTAAATATAACGACATAAAACAGATTCTGTCATTTGAGAAGCAGAAATCAAATGACAGAAAAGTAAACTAATGGTTTCAGCGTTACACGTGTCAGCATGTATTTATATTACTATGTGAATTATCAGGATACTCATAACAGTCCTGATGTTTGGGAGTTGATGGGTACGTACAGAGGGTCGTGATGGTGGCTCTTTGGACATCTGGCTCTCTACGCAGCGGAGTCTCTCTTCCAGGTAGCGGTTCCTCAGGGTCACAGTCTCCATGGCGTCATCACGAGGTAAAGCCTGGTGCTGTCTGCAAGTTCAGTGTTTTAATAACTTTGGATGAGTTCAACAGACGACAGAAGGAAATAGCAGGAGGATTAAGAACATTGATGTATTATTAGATTATGTATTTTTTATAATTCATCCAGTTCAATTTGAAAACTGACAATAATGTTTGTTAAGATATTATTCAATTTCTTTATTTGATTTGTCAGTTGTTGACTACATGCAGATGTTTTTATTTTACTGATGCCATGATCTCGGGAACACGAGAACAGTATGTTGGTGTCTCAAGATCGCGGGTAGATTTATGTTCAAAAAACAAAAGGCCAATTTCTCGAGAGAACAGCATAATTATTCATGAGAGAGAACTCAACAATGAGTGTCACTTCATCACATTTCATCCTTCAACATTACGGCTGTCTGGGAGGATTCTCCTGAACAGTAAATCAAGGCATCGTGTGAAACTGAAGAAGATAATCCTCAATCTGACATTTGAATCAGTTGTTGCAGTTGTCACAACACCATCTATGCGTGTTGGCACGGCAGTCCTGATCTCTGATAAACATAAGCATCAAACGACTTTCTGTGTTCTCGTGATAACGGGGTTGATCGTCTTGTGATCTCGAGATGACAGCATAAACTGATCTCTTCCAGACAAAATACTTCAGTAATTTATGAATATAATTCTGCAATTCCTCAGTCCATAAAATGATGATCATGTTTATCCAATAATGGTGATAAGACAAGATAAAACAGAGCAAATAATTACAGAGCACTTAAGACACACCAGTTGTTAAGACTCGATCGACCGGGTTGTAATCAGCTAAACGCAACACTTTAAAAAAAGCCGTACTTTTATGTGTTCTTTTAATAAGAAACATATTAACAATCCTAACTTTACAACTCGTTATGGATCCTGTTTTAAGCCCTGATTCTAGTGTGTTGTTTTGGATTCTCTTAAAGACAGCGACATACTTTATGGTGAGGATCTGTGTTTCCAGGTCAGAGTTCTTCTTCCTCAACTCTTCCGTCTCCTTCTCCATTTCGGTGGATCGCACTCCCACCACCTGATCGGCAGTCACACCTCGACCCTTCAGCTTCTTCTGCAGTAAACTCTTCTCTTGTTCCAGTCTGCGTGCACAGTAAAGCACAGTATGTAAACAGAAAGTGGTTGTGGCTTTCCATAGAACAGAACCGTTACGTACACTCACGATCAACATTAGTACACAGTGTATACTTTATAGCTACCGACACAAAGTAGTGGAAAACAACTGCATGTTTGGGTGGGACACTAACATTCTGTATATAGCTGTATAGCCAAACCCTCCACCTTCCCTCCTTGACTACCATCCCCTCTCATTATCATTAGAGCTGGGACCATCAGTCCATCAACAGTAAATTCATTTGCAACAGTTTTGGTCATTTTTATTTTCACAATAATCGTTTTATAGACAAACAACTAATCAGCGGATCACTCAATGAAAATGATTATTAATTGCAGCCTTATAATAATTATTGCTTCAGTCCCTTGTGTGGTCGTTTGGAGCCGAATGTTCCACGTTGCAGCTTTAATGTGAAGTCCTTCTGTCCTCTAAACGTGCATGAGGATAAAGCGTCGGTATAACACACACACACACACACACACACACACACACACACACACACACACACTGACCTGGCGTAGAGGTCTTTCAGAGTGCTGAGCTGTTTCGACAGGGATTCATTCTCTCGTTCCTTCTCCTTCAGTGAATTCCTCACCTTTTCCATCTTGGCCTGCCATTTCTTACCCTCCTCCCAACGCACAATTTCTCCTTTGGTCTGTCAGACAAACAAGTCGAACGTCAAGTGAACACGCAATCGAATGATAACGTTAAGACAACAGAATCGATGCTCCAACCTTTTTATGATCATCCTCAACATTTTTCATTTCTGCTCTTTTCTCCAAGTCAGACTCGAGACGCTTGATCTTCTTCTGCAGATTCTCGACGGCTGACCCCTTCCCATCTGATTCTGGTTGATTCTAATCAACAGAGAGAAAAAAAGACTTTCATAACACCTCACTTTTCTTAAAACACACAGTGGAGACTGACCATTCCCATATCCTTTATGGTCACAACCAATATCCTCATGTTAAAGATATGAGAGACAGAGTCCTGATTAGTGAAATATATCAGAACTGCTTGACCTATTTTCAAAGAACGGAGGACTCCCATCTTCCTCTTACAGAAGAAAAACTAAACTCATGGCTGCATCTCATCTTATCTCGGACCTCCTACTTTATATTAACTTCAAAAATCTTAACTATAAATGTATATTAGATTCCTCGATCGGCACTCGTCCTGTCATGTCTGCGTCTTTAAATGGAATGTCCCGGTAGGCTCGAGATGGACCGCAGTAATATCGTCTCAGTAGCACAAACTGCAACCTCAGTCTGGAAATATAAAGTGTCAACATGCAGTTTGAGTATTCATGTTGTTTACCTCTTCATCTGACAACAGTGCTGCCATCTTTTGCAGTTATTTTGAATTGAGGACGGCGTCTGTGACATCCTAACTCATGTTTCCTAACTCGGTAATTCCCAACGTTTGTAATTGCTTGATTCCTACCCTAAGATAAAATGAGATCTTTTTCCTAAATGCAGTTAGGAAACATGTAATCTAAAACTGAGATAAGAGAGGATCTCAGACTGAAGACATTTCTGTAACGAGGCCACATGACTTTAAAAACTTTAAAGAAAATACATGATTGTGGTGCTGGTCTTCAGGATTAGCAGTATAATTAAATTCTGATATCCACTGGAGGAGTTCATCTTAAATCTTAAAAGAATGTGAGATTCCATTCTCGATGCATTCCTCAATTTATTTTAACTGAATTGTCTAAATGTCTTGCTGTTTGTCCACATGATGGGATGCTGATATTGGCTGTCATGTGGCTGTTGTTTCATTTATCTCTTGAGCACTGAAACAATGATTAACCTAATTTATCACCAGGCCTTGGCATGTAGTTGACGGGTAAGGGACTGGACATTCCTTTACCCAACAACAGCAACAGAATATAAGCTCGGGATCGAAGCCGAAGTGATCAAATGCTCATCTATCAGTAGATTGGTGTGTTGTCCCACGATCCTTAGAGATCTGCTAACCTGAAGGGCGCTGCTGAGCCTCTTGACTTGCTGCTTGAGCTCCTGGATCTCCTGCTCTCTCTCCTCCTTTTCAGCCTGCATGCGTCTCTGGTTCTTCAGACTCCTCTGGAGGTCCTGGTTCAGGCCGTCCACTTCCTCCTTCAGGGTGTGCTCCCGGCCTCTGGCTGCTTTGGCAAAGTCCTTTGCAGCTTGAAGTTCCTCATTAAGTTCTTGCACTTGCACCTTTGTCAGAGGAGGGATTTTACAACTTAAAGGTTAAGTCTGGAGATATCTTTTAGTTTTCTCACGAAAAGCCCAAAACCCTCAAAGAATGTTGTTTGTGTATGTGCCATAAAGTGCCATTGTTGTCAATGATGTCAAGCAGTAAATTAATACATCGTCAATTTAATTTATTCTGAGACCGTCCAGTGTCCTTAAATACTCAGCAGCGCACAAAAGAAAACGATGTGTTTGTGTTATTATCCTTTCACTTTTTAGTTGCTGTAATCTTGTGATGCATTATGTCTTCTCCGTTATGTTCTTGTGAAGGTGCATGCGACAGGAGCAGCAACTGTGGGTTAACAGGGGGGGCCTCCTAGGACCCTGCTTCTGGAGTGCTCCGTTCTCACACTGGTTTGTAGGTTGCACCTGTTTCACTGATACCCCAGTTGTTCTTTGTGGCAGGTCTTGCAGAGCAGCTGGTGGTCACTGTACATGCTACATGTACATAAATAATCTGTCACAGCCCATTCAGATATATTGTCATGGACTTCATTGGTATGGTCAGACCAGTGGACAGGAAACAATAGTAACTGCGCAGCTATGTCCAAACAAAGCTCTGTTTCAACAGGTAATAGGGGCAACGGAAGAGAGGCAAACTCTGAATTCTGGTTACTAGAATATAGCTAAGAATGACAAACCTTTAAACACAACAACTAATTCATGCATCCAACCACAAGGTGCTAGTAACCTTATGCATGAGTGGTTCTCTGCTGTGCACAAAGCACATGGACCAGAAGACCAGCAGGAGGTTTTAGCATTTTCCAGTGTCAGTGACATCAGTCACTCAAGGGGGGGGGGGGGGGAGAGAATGTGTGGTAGGAAAAAGTATATGTGTATTGAATGTAACTTTATGTATTCATAGTTATAATGTGATTTCTGTCTTCACTGTTCGAATGCGTTACCTATACTAAGTATATATGCGCACTTATGAATCATTGCATGCTTTAAATCACAGGTAAAGAAAAGTTCACTGGTTGTAGAGTCAACAGCTTGTGTGCAGGAGCAACAGGATGCTGAGCCAGGTGGTTAGGAAAAGGGAGCTGTGAGACAACAGTGGAGCCCCCGCTGATGACGGTTGTAGAGACAATGAAATATAGTATAAGGGGGGGGTCTGATGGATGGCCAAAAATCAATCATTTAGAAGACAGGAATCCGACGTTCGTAGCCTGTCCTCACGCACAACTCATCCCAAAATGATATGAAAGAATGTCAGCACTGTCCCGGTCGATTTGCTGTTCACTTGGGATTACTCTGGTCAGAAGAGTGTGCACAGAGGCCTGGGCGATAGCAGCAGGAGGATACTCAAGGGAATAGGTAGAGGGCTAGGAGCAGATGTGTGCGAGTGTTGGATTCCTAACAAGGAAGAAATGTAAGCAGGTCACTACGACCTGCGGCGTGAATCAGAGGAAGACGTGAGATAGTTAGATCCTGTGGTGTCTCACTAGTCAGATAGATAAAGTTATTAATTTAGTAGTAAGATATTTAGATATTAACACTCCACTATAATCAACGAAGCTGCTCATCAAAAAACAACCACTACACTACACAGATTAATCAGCATTCATTTTCGCCAAGATGAAAATCAATCATAACTTTGCATATCTGACTGAGCCTCCAATTAGCGGTATTGGTTATTAATGAAAGGATTAAGGGCCAGTTGGAGTCAACTGGATGTCAAACATGCGGTCTGTGCATAGCCAAATGTGATTGGTCAAGTGTTGCCAATCGTCTACCGATGGTTGTCATGTTGGGTTTTTTTTGTTCATTGATCCCACTCTGCTTAAGCTTTATTCATCTTTAGAATGACAGTTTCTTATCCTGTTTGCTTTTCGTGGTTGTAAATAGAACTTTCGGTCCTAATGCCATTTCCCTCCATTGTAGCAATCAGACAGACAGAAGGGAAACAATAAGGAAGCCAAGGGACAGTCAACTAGAGAGAGAGAGAGAGACGCAAACAGTTGTTGTATTTAGCGCTCTGATAGTGCTGCGTTCTTATGGGAGTGCTCCGATTCATACATGAATTCTTTGATTTTGAAACAGCCTCAGAGAGGCAAAATAACAACAACTTAAGCCTGCTATTGGCAAGATGCCGCTCCGACGGTCCCACAAATTTAAGTAGTTCAACTTAGTCTCATGGTGATTGATTGAAAGCACATGAGTTATTTTCAAATGTATTATTAATATATTAACAGAGCTATGGATAGGCTGATATTTATACCAAAATAGGCTTTATATCCGGATTTATTGGGAGAAACAAAGCAATTGTATGTAAAATCAGCACCCCCACATGAATAGAATGGAATGATCCTTTGTTTTATAACAATATTTCACGATTTGACTGTGAGATTGGTGGTGGAATCAGGCTCCTTAGATCAAACTTATGAATAGTCGACTATTCGGAAGTCACCCCCACATGTGTTACTACTAGCTACCATTGAGATCAACATAAACCAGAAGTTCATTGGCAATGAGCATAAAAAGGGGAGTAGATTATATGTATGTTGCTTTACGGAATGTCAGCGTCTTGTGTGTCCGTTAATGAGCTCAAGAGCTATTCATAAATGTCAGTAATGAAATGCAACGTGCACGAAATTACGATAAAGGGGACCTACCTTCAGCTCTTTGGTGTGTCTGTCAACCAACACCTGTACATTGAGACTCTCCTCTTTCTGTGCAGCGCTGGCTATGACTTGCTGCTCTGCAGCGGCCGTCATCTCTGCCCGCAGCTCCAACAGAGCCTTACTGAGAGCCTGAGAACACGAGAAGAGAGGAGATGCCAGCTATGATAAGCATGACGAGGGCAGCGGTCATTTTTCAGTTCACACATTATCATCGTTTCTTCATGGAATGCCTCCTCTCCCCTTGGTATAAACTTGACAAACAACTTGTTTGTTTGTTTGTTTGTTTGTTTGTGTGTGTGTGTGGGGTGAAAAATTACAGAACTTGGAAGTGGTTTTGAGAAATAATCAAATAAAATAGTATTATGTGAAAAAAACGCTTTGGGCACTTCTACTTATTTAGAAACTGATATCCAGATCAACTGCTCGTACTTGTTATGCAGCTTAAAGACTGAAAATCAGTGTTTATTCAAAATTCATTCAAGTTTCAGTGCCAGCATACACTGAAGGAAAAGCTACCAGTCCATCCATCAGGATGTACAGCATCCAGACCACCTATCTGGCAGATCTTTGGACTGGGAAGAAACAAGAACCTCCCAAGGGAAAGCTTTACCTCATTCTCCAGAAATCAATCTGTGTATTTTAGCAAGGCAACAGGACTAACCTTCCCCCCCCCCCCCCCAAAAACAAGTAAACGTATGTGATCAAAGGAGGACCTTGAGCTGCTTCTCCTTCTGGGTGAGCTGTGCTTTCAGCCGTTCCACCAGGTTTTTCATGGTGTTGCTGGGGGAGCGGACGTTGGCCTCCTTCTGGGCCGCCAGCTCCGTTCGGAGGTAGTTCATCTCCTTCTCCATCTGGGCCATGTGGCTCGTCTGGTCCTCAGTCTCACCAGTCAGCGCTTTCACCTGGGCAGCGTGATACTCCTCCAGCCTGCAACAAATCCCCTGTGTTAGACTATCTCAACTTATTGTCTTACATAGTTTGAAATAATGAGGTTAAGAAAGTATTTTTGACTTAATACCACTGACTCTATACAGTGAGGGCACATGTTCTATTATGTGTCTCTTGTGTTCTGTAACTCATGATGTACACATGGGGTGTGGTCATGTTCACTCATACAGAAAAAGACTTGAATGTTTGTATCATTGATAAAGACAGAAACGGAGGCCAAGTTTACTGTAAGTGATGATTTGATAAAAAGCTGTACCTTTTGTAAATATCCAAAGTCTCTAAAACTATTGAAAGTAATTGAAATAAAGACGCGGGGTGGGCTTTATTCAGACAGGAGAGTTACGGGGTAACTAGTGTCTGACGGAGGAAACAACATTCTTGCCTAACATGTAACACCGTTATTTTTATACGCACACAGCAGTTTTGGCGGGTCATTAAATTTAGGAGAGTTCGGCCGATACAACAACATTGGTTCCAAGCAGGATGCTATTTTTTGGTTTGGCAGGAAATTTTAACACCAACTTCTTTTTATTACCATGACTTTTTATTACCATGTGCGAGACGATTTCTTTTCTACCAATCAGGGAGATATTTCTTGCATGGAGGTTTATGTTGCATGGCTGACAAGTCCTTCTGACACAGAGTGATACTTCTGTAACATGCAGCAACTCAGCCTAGTTATCGGTTTGTTCTGACTCATGCCAGGTAAGCAGATTCCACCCGGTCGACTACAAACATCCATGACTAATTGTCTATTTGTTTTTTTTGCATGAATCAATTGTGATCAAACTGTGAGCGTTGCTGAGCTATACGCTATGTTAGCGGTTAATTGGGGACTGAGCTAAACCTCAACATATACTCAACATTGTAGTCAAACTATTTAAAATGTCGTTGGGCATCTTCTTGTGTGGCTGAAATGCCCCAACTCACTTCTGAACTCTTGAAAGCCTTGTTTAATCCACTTTTGCTGATTTTTATTAGACTCTTACCCTGTTGAGTTCCCCATACGTCCCTTTAAGGTTGGTCAAATAATTGTACTCCTCACTGACAGTGTCATTCATTGAAGCTATATGGTGCTGATACAGTATGGTATACCATACTGTATTCTACAGAATGGTATTTAAAAATACCCATCACTCTAGGGCTTTCCCACATTCGGTGTAATCCTGGATGAGACTTCACACTTGCTGTATTGCTGAGGACCCAAGGAAGTGTCCCGGGTGAGCTCCTGAGATCTACGGGACGTATTAATTAGCAGTGTGCTATAAAAACACCGTGTAGTGTATTGAGAGGGGACCCCTTTTAACCGGTACACCACTGAAGAGCATGCTGGGTAGAGCGCACTCTCCGTCTACATTCATCTGAGCTTCTGCACACAGATGATGCGTATTATCCCCAAAAACACCCATTTGAGATCATCAATGTGAATCAAGGTTAGGAGGAAAGCAATGCGATGATGTCTAATCAACGCTCAACATGTTTCATGCTGTCAGTGTTCCAAGGATGTTACCACTGAATATGTGAGTTACTAAACATATTGTAAATTGCAGATTTCGGTTGGCCTGTGACATTGTTAAAAGCCTTTATGTTCTCTGCTGATGATAATATTCACACTAATCATTAATGTACTCGCTCACCTCAACAGCTAAGATAAAGAAGGCATAAAGGATGCTGTTTCTGTTTGAATATAACACAGGTGAGCACTCTGGTTTAATGACGGGATAATCACTTTGACATCTCGTCAGCGTGTTTCTTAGCCAGCGTGTCCATGGCGGTCCTCTGTCGCTGCAGCTCAGCAGTGGCCAGCTTCAGCTTCTCTGTGATGGAGGAGAGCGAGATGTCCTGTTCAGCCACAGTCTGCTCCAACTCAGCCAGATGCTCCAGATGCTTGGTGGTTGGCACCCTGATAATGGGCTTCTTCATCAGTTCCTGAACAAAGGAAGGCGGGAGCATTAAACAAAACCCTCAAAGACTCATGGAGGGATATCTAAATCACACATGGGATGTGTTCCCATGAAACACTGCTTGATGAAATGTGAAATGTTCTGTATAATAACACAAGACAGCTTCACGGCTTATTTCTTCTATGCTTTAAATATTAACAACAGCTGATCTGCTCTGGGTGCGTCACCGTCTCTTTCTGTTGCTGCTGCTACACATTACTCTGCTCTCACGAGTCCTACTAAACGTCTTAACATATGCATTGCACTTCAACCTGGCTTTGGCCATTTTTACACAGCAGCACTGCTGCACATCAATGCTTGCGTGTGGCGTTTTGCAGGTTGTTTTCTTCATCTACTCTTGTTCGCTATGCAGGGCAGGGGTTGCATTTCAGATATTTATAAACATATACACACACACACACACACACGTTAGTAAATATAACTGCTTTAGGCTCATTTCTTAACGTAAACATCATATTTTAAATATTGCTCCAGGTTAGAGGGTTCCTTGTAGAATTTACAGCATTAATTATCTGATTTTCATATCAGAGCATTATTGGCACCGTCAATGAAATGTCCCTAATCAAGATGGAATTGGTAAATCTGCGAGGATACCCAGCCGTAATGCGTACCATGGCTGTCTGTTTGAAGCGGTCCAGGGAGGTGTCCGTGTGCAAGTCCAACTTCTGATGCAACATTCTCAGCTCCTCCTGGTGTCTCTTTATCATCTCCTCCTGATCCTGGGCTCAACAAGGTGCGTTTAAAGGAAACAAAGAAACACTTGGAGTATAACAAGTCTACCTTCTAAAAACATACGAGCCAGGTTTCTGAACAGACGAGACAATAAGTAACATCTTTACTACTTAACATGTCTGTGGGAATAATAGAAGAGACGTGTTGCATCACTGTACCTGTCTGGCTTGAGCCAACTGGTTGTGGTATTTCTTTAGCACGTCCTCTTTTTTGTTGAGTCGATCCTGGAGGTCTTTGATGGTCTGTTGAGCTAGCTTGATGGCGGGTTGGTAGTCTAGCTGGCCCTCTTCATGCTTAGCAAGGTCAGCTAGCAGGCGTTCTCTGCTGGCAGCAGCTGGGAGCCGCAGACGCAGCTCATTGATCATTTTATCCCGGGACACAATGTTCTGCTCTGCCTTCCACAGAGCTGCTTCTTTCTCTTTCAACTTCTGCATGTGGAATTCAAACAATATGCATTTGATTTATGTAAAATACAATATAGTGTCTGAACTGCGACTGAATACCATTACCTCATCCAGATTGTTGCAGGTGGCCTGTGTGTCCAAGATGGTGCGGACGTGCTCCCTGATTTTACCCAGAGCAAACTCTAACTGATGAGCAAGAGGTAGACTCGGGTCTGGTAGGGATCCTGTACCATCTTCATACTGAAAACAACCAAACATATAGTGACATCGAAAAGCTGGAACACCAGCCTGTTTCTGTAGAATCACACTTTAGTTGCTGTTTCCTCTGGAAGCAACAGTTTACCTTTTCCGAACCGCTTAGAATTTCACTCTGGTGCTTCTCGTACTGGTCCAGCTGATGCTCCAGCTCCACCTCTCGCTGATCATAAGCCAGCTGGTGTTCTTCTTGAAGCTTGACATGTCAGAGAGAAAAGTTTTCTTCATTACCATTTATGACATTTATCTTGACAACACCACTGATACACTTCTGTCCTGAAACGCTCCTTAACAAGTGAGGCAGTTAGAATTGTGAGGTTTTCATAGCTTCACTTTTCTCCACTCTTTGTAAATAGGTAGGTAATTGACCCTTCATAAGTCCCACCCCATTTTGCTCTGTGCTCCAATAACAATTGAGCAAGCTTGGAACCCGGCAGAACCTGGGTTCCCTGTCCTCTTTCCGGTTATACTTAGATCTGCTACTTCTGTTCAAAGGTAACATTACTAACATGTCACATTACATTATGCATCATCACATTGTGGCAACGTTAAAGAGATTAGGAAAAGGACAAGCAGGTTAGCTGCTGACATATTTTAAAGATGATATGAATTATCAATTATCAAAAAGATCAAGGCTAACATTCCTTTGTTTATATTATCTCTGTAAGGCTACTTCCGTCCCCAAAGCAGCTTTTGGTGTCATTTATTTGGATATACGTAACGTCTAATATCTCAAAGGGAAAAGATACCATTGTGAGTATACCCGTCCATCGCGTACTGTCAGTAAGGACTACAGTACTTTTTTCAAACTTGTCCGAACAACAGTACCTAAGGGGGGGGACTTTGGATTGGTCAATTGAGACATAATGCTTTTGTTTATAACCCTGATGTGTTTATCATTGTTATGAATAATCAAAAACTTGAAAATTGTCAATTAGTTTTGCATATTTTCACATTGTGTATAAAAAGTGTCAAGAGTTTTTTCCGCTCACCGTGTTTTGCTGCACGACATCCTCTTCCAGCGAGCAGACGGTTCGCTCCTGCTCCTCCACCAGGTTCTTCAGGTACCTGATCTCCTCCTTCTGGACCACCAGCTCCCTGCCTTTCCTCAGCTCCTGCAGACGAGCTTCTTCCATCTTCTTGTGCCACTCAGTCACCTGTTGGGAGTGTTACAGACTAGTTGTAGGCAAGATGTGGCACAGACAAATAGACTAACAAGACAAACAGTGTGTTATTCTACTATATCTGTCAATCAACAAAAATGACCTTTTGGGCCCCTTTCACGTCCTTCAGTGTTGAGATGAGCTCCTCCAGGCCTCGGAGTCTCAGGTCCAGTTCTTCTGCCCTGCCCTCAGCCCTCCTCCTCTCCTCCTCAGCCTTCCTCTTCTCCTCCTGGGCTTTTGCTCTGTCCTCTTGGAGGCTCACCATGGCCACAGAGAACTTTTCCTGCTGGGGAAGCGGCAGCGCTCCGGCAAACTGCCGACGCAGCGACTGGACGGTCTGCCGTAGGTGCTTGGAGCGATTCCTGCCCTCCTGGCGGGCGAGGAACAGAGTGCGCTCACTGGCATCTAGCCGCTGCTCAGCACGCAGCCTGCAGGCCTCCAGCTGCTGGATGTGAGAGGTGGCAGCCTCCAGCTTGGCCAAAGAAGCTGACTCGCTGAGCTGCAGAGCCACAATGTGCTGGTGGAGCTTCGCAATGAGGGCCTTCTCATCTGACTGTGACTGAGGGAGAGAGGTGAAGACACGCTTAAAACTATTTCATCAGAATCACTAATGTACGCAACTGCCTGCTACACAACTGGGGTTGTTTGGTTGTTTGATTTCCAGATACTTTACAATTCCAATATTGAGAGGCAGAGAATTTAGAAATGTTTACCATGAGTCTACAGAGCAAACCATTATAACATAACTGTAGTTCTTGAAAGCAGGACTTGAATAATAAGTCACCTGTGAATTGAAAGTGTGACAGAAAGTGCAGTAAAGAATCTGATCTGTTGAGTTCTCACACTGCATCAAGGGCCTCAAGATCAAGAAGAAATCCAATTACATTAATTAAGAACTACTGTTCATCTGGCAGTAAGCCTTATGAAAGCGTCTCAGTTGATGAGCAACAGGACAATCTTTGAATGTACAGAACAGGAAAACGTTATAATTAAACCTTCCTTAGTTCAATAAAGTTTAAGAAAATCAAAAAACATCAACACCCAATTACCTGGTAGTCCAGTATTTGTCTCCTCAAAGCATCCACTTCCTTCTCTTTGGACTGTTGTCTGGCCTGCAGAGCAGACGCCTGCATCATGGCCACATCAGACACCTCTTGGAGCCTTTACAAAACAACAACAATAAAATAAACACATTACATTATTTGTAGTTTGAAGCTCTTAGACTCCCCTTGGACGCCACAACTAGGGGGTTTCTGAGCAGTTTCCAGAACAGAAATGCTCGCCATCCAATAGCCAAAAAATGAAATGGAAAAAGTTTTGATACAGAAATCCCAGCATGACTTTTTCTATGATGGTCCTCGAGGTCTTGGTGTCTTAATGTGGTATTTTTACCATTTGTATACGTTAGACTGATCAAAGACTGTTTAGTTGTGCACCAAGTCTGTGTAACAAATACTATCAACCCCAAAACCTGCGGCAACAACAAGTAATGAGACATAAGTAAGCATGGATATGGCCGTCATGATGTTCTAAGCCCTTATACACTCTAAATGTTTCACCAATAGAATAGGCGACTAACCAATACACAAAGTTCTTTACACAGTTATGACTAGAAACTTGACACAGTGCTGAGCTGCACCTCAAAAAGAGGTTGACCTGCTATCCCCCCTTATAGACCCGCCCCCTTTGAGAAGTCTGTCTAAGGAATGACAACCGTTTGACAGATTGCTTCAGCTGTGACCTTAAAACACTTATGTTTTCCAAAGTCATTCGAGGATTGCAACTGTAATCTCGAGCAAAACATTTATTTCACGATAGGAGCCTTGATGATCAATCACGGGCCTGCACTTTGCCAAACGTACTTAGAAACCTCAATGCGGAGTTCAGCCTCGGCCTTCTCCAGCTCTGCGATCCTCGCTCTGTCAGCGTCGCTCACCGCTTTGCTGATGCTGTCGGCCAGCCCGTCTCTCAGCTCTCGCTCCACCCTCTGGGCCTCTACGTTCATCTTGGTCAGCTGAAGAAAAACAGATACAACATAGCTTGTTACGATTTGTTTTTTTATGAATTACTCTTTATATAAAATTGTCAAATGAAGATTATTCAAAAGACAATTTATAAAGGAATAGATAATGAAGACTTTCGGGGAAAATGACCCAAACTGGTGAGAATCTGGCACGGACTGAGTTTGCTGGGTCATGAACTAAACTTCTGAGAAATGATCAACAGGCTCTCGGTCTGCCAGGTGAACCATATCGCCTTTTACCCTTATTCATTAAATATCAGTCACTTAGACCCCGTGAGCAACAGCGTGACAGACAACAACTCTTCTGTTGTTTTCTTTGGCCTCATACCTCTGCAAACTTGGACTCCAGCTCTATGTTGCGTTCTTCCACCTGCCGAAGGGAGTTCCTCATGTGCTCATACATTGTGTGTGCATGCTCGGCTCTCTGCCTCTCATTCAGCTCCTTCATCTCTAGAGTGGTGATGCGCCTGGCCGCAGATACCATCTCTTTGTTGGCCAACGCCTTGTCCGCCTTGTCCATGTTATTCTCACCTCCTGATATTTAGGAAAAAAACAACATTTGTGATGAGAAGTTGATCGTAAGGGTGGAATCCACAAACTCGTATCAACTCTCAAGTTAAATCATGGTTTATCTTTTTCCATCAAAGCTGCAAAGATCGGATCAAACTTAAAAAAACTAAAAAGAGAAAATATATTCTGTTTCAGTGATTGTTCCTCTTTTGGTGCATTTTAACTAGCAGTCCTGGTTTGAACCACCAACTTTAACTATACCTATTCTTAGCCGATTCTTTTGGCAAGTGGTCTTCTGGCCAACAGTCTTATTTTAATCACTAACCTTATTATTAAGACAGGCATGTGTTCTGCTCAAACACAGCTTTAATCAAATGAAGCCATCAAAGTTAAGGAATGAATTAAATGTCTGTGATAATGATCCACTCGCTGTATTACAACACTGTGGGTATCCAGGGCGAAACAGTCAATTAAAGTTCCATTAGGACGAAAGCCCACAATGCAATAAACATGAACAGTTACCAGCGGTGTGACCAAATCCATGCAAACGTTATGTTGATAAGAACGACGGCAAGAACTTCAGCTTGTAAATGACTGCACTTTTCCTTTAATCGCCCGGTCAGTCTGTCTATGCTGTGTTGATGTACCATTTGACTACAACATTAAGTCCTTTTGCACCGAATGTTTTTGTTCCTTAGTAGCCTTGTTGTTGGCCTTATAACAAGTGTTTTAGAAGGTATTTCTGAATAGAGATTACTGAGCTGTATATAATCAGCTTCATCATCAGTTTACCAATTGCATTGATGTTGGTCCATGCTTGTTCTAAAGTGTTCAGTTTCTCCTTCGTGATCTCCAGTTCTTTATTCATGGCTGAGATTTGCTCCCGAAAAGACTCATTCTCCCTCTGAGAGACAGGAACAAGATGAAAGAAATATGGTACGGTCAGTCAACGGTTAACAGCCAAAAAGAAAAAGAAATGGTGTGTTAATGCATTTTAATACCTGCAGATGTTCCAGGTTGGTGGTTCTCTGTATCAGGCGGCTGTCCCTCTGCAGCATGTCTCTGTATTTGACTGTTAGCTCTGTGTACTGTTTGTTCGCCCTCTCCAGGTCTGATGAGGGCACACTATCATCCAAGGCCTTCTGCAGTGCTGCTATCTTATATGCAGCCATTTCCTGAGACAAAGCAAAAGACAATTAAAAGGCCATTGTATGCTGGTTCAGGTTTTGGCAGGTGGGAGCCACAAGAGGCTAAACTGCACCACTACACCATGTTCTAAGCAGGACTAAAAGCATTCTTGTTGACTCCAAAATTAGAATTGAACTTTTGGTTTCTCTACCTTGTATCTCTGCAGGTAGCCTATCCTCTGGGTGACAGAGGCCTGCATGAGGCTGCTCTCGTCCCTCAGCTTGCTGTTCTCCTTGCGGAGGTGCTGCTCTTGCTCCAGCAGGGTGACGTAGCGCCGTGTCAGTTTCGTCTCATTAACCTTCAGAACCGTCGACTTGCGCAACGCTTCGCTCAACGATCTCCTGACTTCCTCGGGGTCCTTCCGAAGGGTGTCCAGCAGCTCCTTGTGGGTGAAACGGACAAGTTGCTCTCATTAAATTCATTGATTTTTGGGGATACCCATATTCGTTGACTCGTCCATTTTTCATTTTATAATAAAAACAAAAACAAAACACAGTGCAGGCACCAAAGGTTACAACCCATGTCCGTCTTGCTGACTCTCAAGGGTCTCACTCCTATTTTACACTAGGAGACAGAGTGAGTGGTCCGCCCCCTTTACGAGTGTTTTCACATTTATTAAGTAAGAGGAGGAAGTTGGACAACAGGGACGCAGAAGAGTTTTGGTGACATTTGACGTTGGTACATCTAGCTCTATAGTGTAGGTCCTGAACATTAAACTATCTTAGAGCAGTAGTGTGTGTGTGTGTGTGTGTAAATGACAGGCACATTGTAAATTGCTTTTAACCCAATAAACATGTATTTGTCTGACTTACGTTGAATTCCTGGATTTTAACAGCGTCCACCTGATTTTGCTCCTCCAGGTTTTTCTTCAACTCTGTAAATGTCTCTTTCTCCTTCTGCCACTCCGCCTTCTCACTGAGCAAAAACACAATACAAACTAAATGTTACAAACCAGCTCCGACCTGTGAGATCCTCCTCCTTGTTAGACTAACCTCAGGTATTCTTTATAGAGGAGTCCCTGTTGGTGGCTGATAACAGAAAACTTCTCCTTGTATTCCTCCAGTGTTCCTGAGAGTTTCTTGCTTTCTTCCTCCTTGTTTTTGAGCTCCTAGTTAATGAAAGTATCATAAATGTTTGATTTATAGTTGAGACGTATTGTTGATTTACAGCCAGGTCTTAAGTAGACAGTTAAACAGACCTGAAGAAGTCCAATGGCATACTCGTTCAGAGAACTGATGACCTCAGTGCTGCTGGGCCCCAGACCCTCGGGGAGGGTCAGAGGTCGGAGGACAACTCCCTGGTTGCCCGACCTCCTTAACAACTCCAACTCACCTTCCAGCTGGCTCACCTGACAAGCACAGATAAATAAATAACACACACTTCAGCGCCACTAAAAATATAATTTGTCGATCAAAATAGATCCCAAGTTCACTTCTAATATCTGAGGCTCACACAGAAAATAGGACAGCATCAATTCTAACCGCTCAGCACGAGTCTGTTTCTCATGCAAGAACAAAAGGCATTACAGGAAAATTACGAAACAAAACACATAAATAAGGAATTGGTGTAACAGAGTGAAACCTTACGATGAGCCATGATGACTGCCTTGAGGAAATACTTTCACATGAAACCAGAACGAGGATTCAACAAACATTTAGCCATCAGTGCTCTGAGAAACACTGTTCCAGTCACGCTAATTACCGTCAGAGACTGAGGGAATGCTCGGCATTTCCACTGTATCTATAAATCATATAAATTGGTCTATTTTCATGCAAAACAATATTCTGTTGATTTGGAGGAAAAAAAAGTTTCGACACACGGCTGTAAATTGCTGTTGGCCTTGAATAACCAGAGTTGTAAAACGGCTTGACTTTGACAAATCATTTCTGAATGTTTAGCCAGAAAAACCTGACAAGGTGGACAATACTGATGTGTTTTCCTGCCAAAGGAAGCAATATCGCCAAAAGGAGATTACGTAGAGAAGCTAATATGTCAAACGACTGTCAAGTTGTCTGTCAACAGCATCATGTCTTTATCTGGACATGAAAAAATACCTTTTCTTTGGCTCTGGCGAGCTGACTGAAACTGCTGGTTGCTTCCTCCCGGGCCGATTTCAGTTCCTGCCTTAGTTCTTGGTTTCTCCCAACCAGCTGATGTATTTGGGAGTTGAGGTGCGGGGATGACTCAGACTGCCCGCTCATGCTGCTGACATCTATAGCCTGTGATATGGAGGATGAGCACAGTTGAAATGACAATAAAAACTTTGGAAGATAAATAACAGACCCAATCAGTGAAATAGAAAAGATTGTTTCAAAGGTGTCCACCACCATCATATTCATTTAACATGTTCTTTCAACCTTGTTGTACATAAAATTACAAGTAAAATCCCACTGCAGACAGTAAATATCACATTAAAGTGTAACTTAGGTATTTTTCCCTATGTTTTTGTGTCTCAGTGACTAAACTAAACTGATCTGACGGCAGTCGCTAAACTGGCTGCAATGTTTTAGCTCGGGGCAATTCCCCACCGTCAATGTACATCCACTAAAAGTGATTGTTTTCGAAACTGACACCATTATGGAAAGAACCCTAGGGAGGAATAAACGCTGTTCTTTGCCTTTTGCTTGATCCGCTCTGTTTGTACTACCCTGAGCCTTCCACTTAGCACTTATCGTATTCGTATTAGTTTGTTGCACTTATTGTATTAGTTTGTTGCACTTATCGTATTAGTTTGTTTCTGTACTGTACTTTTGCTCTGGTTTATGCTCTTAGACGCTTGTTTAAAAAAGGAGATGCACTTATGACTTCTGGTGATTAGTAGTTCTCTTGAGTACCAATGCTGAATACACTTATTGTAAGTTGCTTTGGATAAAAGCGTCTGCTGAATGACTGTAATGTAAATGTAATGTAGTGTTTGTTATTGTGTCCTGTAAAGATGACAGTGGAAACGAGAGTGAGAGTTGGAGAGAGGACAGCCAGTGTAGTCAGAGATTGTTGCGTTGGAGTACAGAAAGTGTAGCTTAGTGTTGTCTAAAAGATGTTTACTGTCATGGCTGAATATGTAAATTTAGGTGATGTGGATGCGACACGAGATTTCAAAACGAGAATTCTCCGAGCGAGACTTGGTTCGACACAATAACAAACAGATTGGATAAAAGTAAAAGGTAAAGAATAACGTGAGACATTGCATCCCGTTCAGCGGTTTCCATCTGCAGCGTTCTCAGTCAATACTGGACCACTTTCAAAAATGCATGTCCCCATTAGTCACTTATACACAAAAACATGGGAAAATAGCACCCAGGCTGAGTTACCTTACTACTACTTCTTATGGCTTTTCCGTGGCTTGCGCCTTCGTCTGACTTCCTCTTGCACTGAATATGTTGAGCCCACCAGTGTGAGGCAAAGCCAAACAAACATCCTCTTCAGCTGTTTCAAATTTGACTTACTTGGATCCTCTCAAACTCATTTTTCGGTCTCACCGCATTTGTTGTTTATTAAGTTGCTATGTGACAAGCCCTCTGATTCATCAACTGACAAAAGCCATTGAAATACTGAGTAGGGAAGTACAGTATGCCTATTGTTTTCAGCACATGTTTGAGTGGTTCAAGTGGTTTTTTGATTGGTTATATGTGCCTCTACTAGATATAAATACAACCTATATATCTTCATCGTGCATTAGATTAATGACACAGTGAGGGGTCGTGCATTAGATTAATGACACAGTGAGGGATCGTGCATTAGATTAATGACACAGTGAGGGATCGTGCATTAGATTAATGACACAGTGAGGGATCGTGCACTATGTTTCTTGCTCTTATTACTGGTGTTGTAATGTGTGGAACATGTGCGGTTGTGATGTGCTTTAGCACATGTTAGTTGTTTATGTTTTCTGTCTCTTTATCATTACTCCTACTGAGGCAGCTATATGATAGGACGATATGTCATGTGTCATATCATGTGCGCAGTGTTCGAGTCCAAGACCATTTTTTTCCTACCGGGACAATGAAGCATAATGTATCGTATTGAATCTGTTACGTTGATGTAATGAAACAGTAATCTGACTGAAATATGATCTAAAATGAACCAATATTATCTAAAACAGCTGCCGCTACATCTACCACTACTTGTATTCTGAACTGTATTAAAAGTAGAGTTAAATATTATGTTCTCAAATTGCATTTCATTCTATCACAGACCCGATATTGGACGAGTCAGCAAAATAAGCTTTTGTTTTCAGTCACCTTTAACCATGTACTCACGGAAATTTCACAAGGGACGTTGATTAGATCAGTGCCAAGAAAACAGAAAACAGAACAGTTTGCACAAAAACTGACAGGAAAAGTACCTGGAATACCGTAACAGATATTTGGAAACGCACATAAAAACTTTTTATGAAAATTCAGGTTCTGAACAGACAAAACCTGATGACGGATAGAATGATACAGTTCCCTGCTGCAGTGCTGAGTCCAGTGCCACAGTTGAATGCATAAACACACACGGAAACTACCAATCAACCAAAATGCTGGTGTGAAAAATACACATTTGAGAACTGAACTTAACAACTATACATATAATATGTTTTAGATCATTTACTGTGAGGTGAAAAATTCAAAGAAAAAAAGAGGACAGTGGACAAAAAATAAAAAAAGACCTACATTTAGACATAAATGTAGTATTTTGTTTATGAATGAAGTCAGTAGTCTGAAAAAAGATACTTTTATTTCAGGAAAATAACTACTTCATTATATTCACGGCTACATTTGAAGTGTGGGAAAACATCTGTTCTTTGGTAGTGTGTTTTTGATTTGTTTGTAGATTAACACAAATCTACTTCTATCAGGAGACGTACGACTCCTTTAAGCTGTTCTCTGTGGCCCTTCTCCACAACATTATGATACGACACAGAGTGCTGGAGCAAAGTAAAGCACAACTTGTACCCAAATAAAAATGTATATGGCTACAACCTACACCGTAGCCTTCAAAAAGGTATCAGTGTTAACGTCAGATTTGGATCATGGGAGACACTTACATGAGCCAAGCGTTCCAGACTGGGAATATCGATGGCAGATGGAGTGGTTTCCTGATTAGTCCTCATGGCATGGAGCACGTCTTTCAGCGCAGCCTCCAGGTCTCTCTTCACTTTTGACAGTTCTTCCACTACGAGTTTACACACAGGAGGGAACGATATCAGTGAAGCTGTGTACTTAACACCCTTAAAAACTGCAATAATAATCCATGCTAAATATATTTTTCCGACTCAACTGAAAAGATTTCCATGCGTAACTGGATGGACAGCAGGGCTGTACTTACATTTGATGTGGAACTGGGTCTTGTGAAGGTCCAGCTCTCTCTCCTTACTGCTCAGCTCTTGTTCCAGGTACTCATTCTGGAAAGTAAAGTTTGTCACCGCAAAGATAACAAAGAAAACATTTAAAACTTTTCAGCTAGTGGTTAAATGTGTTAACGCCAAACCCGATGCAGCTCTTATTATAAGTATTCTCAAATCAATTTGGACTGATACTTACATGTTTCATAGTAAGACAGTATAAATACTTTAAATGCTAATCACGACTCATTCATTGATTCAGTTTGTTTTGCTTGACATTTACCTTTTAACGTTATTCAATACAGGACACACTGACGTTTCAGATATCAATGTAACCATTTCATTCTAATCCTGCTGACATGAGCATAATATTAGTAATTCAATAAGTAATGATACACGATATCACCTGAGTCACTCCTAAAAACGCCTGTACTTTGTAGCACTTACTCAATCAAAAAGTGATGAATTTATGAAGAGACGTTGTCGATCTAAAGCAGACTGCCCTGGATAAATAACGATGAGTGAAATGAAACACGAAGCACAAACAAAGCCTGTTGTTGGTTATAAACGATACACCACTGTGTTGTGGGTAGAAATCAGCTCCATGAGTTAAGGCTGAGGCTCCATCAGGAAATCGCTCTTCTTTGAAACACTGGGCCTTGATTGACATGCAGGAAATGGCGTCGTTAGTCATGAGCTTACTTTGCGTCGGACCTCTTCATCTGTGTAAGTGCTGCTTTGCTTCAGCTGCACAGTCCTGCCGGGCCTGATGTCCTCCTCCAGCAGCAGGCTGGACTGTGGGATCCCTAGAAACACAGCGGATTGTTACTTCACAAACAGCACAATGTGAAAGCACATTTGTCTGCGTGTATAACGCAGACAACACGCTGTCAAGAGCTTTCATAGGAACACAGTTCCTGGAATGACTTGTTGCCATTGGATGTTTTAAAATCAATCATCATTGCATTGCAGTAGTGATAAAAAAACATATTTTAATACCGTGAGCAGCACAAATTAAATTACAGGGAGATATCTCAAAATATGTGCAAACTAGAAAAGTGCGCTCAGTGGAGTGTAGATCTCCACCAGGTGTGTCTCGCTCCAAACAAAGAGGAGTTGACTCTCACGCACTTGTCATTCCCGGCTCCCTAAAAGTAAAGGTGGCGGCAAAGCTGATAACAACGGGGATTTATTCATCTGGTATCTTGCCGAGCTTTTTGGATCATAACATATCAGGTGAGAAATTAATCTTCAGATGCTCCGGTTTAAAATCAGACCAAACTTTTCTATGGATTTCAGTTTTCAAGCCAAGACAAAGACAGAAATGCAGCCTGCAGAAGACTGGGTGGAGCCTAGTGCATTGCCACAAATCCCCTTTTGCTACTGAGCACGCACGAACCCAAATTACAACTGGCGGAGATAATAAAGACACATTTAGCAACATGGTTAGATTCCACTAAATGTAATTAAAAGAATTCTGATTTGGGTAGACTGATGAACCACATGAAAGACAAATGTCAAACAACAGTGCAGATGAATAGAAGTTAAAAAATAAGTTGCATAAATCCGTGAAAGGCCTCATCGCTCGAGGCTACAACAAAATCAGAAGCAACGTTTTGCCCTCGTCAGACTAATCAGTGCAAACACTTAAGATAATTGTACACACATGAGGCCACTTCATCCATCCAAGACTAATTCTAATTCTGTAAATGGACTTGCACTTGTATAACTTGTACTTTCTAGTCTTCCGACCACTTAAAGTGCTTTAACACTACCTGTTCATTAAACCATCCATACACTGATGGGCAAGGTGGCCCCGCTCCTCTGTAGCAACCACTTCTTAACTTGTAAAAGACGGGAACAGTAAAACCGACTGTAATACTTGTTGCATTAGTGATTTCATCAGCCAGAACTCGGGCTGCTAATTAAGAATTATTTTTTTAACGGACAAGTTTAATGCATACATGACAAAAATGTGATTGGTGTAGTTTAACTTTTTATGTCACCTCTTTCCGTCACCATGCGTCTGACTTGTTTCTTCAGCTCCAGTCTCTCTTCTTCAAGTCGTTCAATCTAGAGAATCAAATCAAGCGGCGAGGTGAGAGGTGCTCAGCCGACACAGTGGTTTTATGATCACACTTCTTTACCTCTTTGGTGAGGACTTGGTTTTCCGCTTTGTACTGCCGCTGCCTGAGATCTTTTGCTCGCCTGAACGCTGTGAGATCCACTTCCGTCTTTGGTTCCAGACCTTGAGAGTCATACAAAAAGCCCCAAATAAACAATAATATATTTTGACGTCAGTGTCTAAATAGACTGAGAGAAGGGCATAGAAGATATTAAAAATGAACCGACCTAGTTTTTCTCGGAAATCCTCGTTTTCGTCCATGAAGTCATTGATTCTCATCTCAAGCTGGTTGATCTCTTTGGTCAAGGCCTCTGCCTCAATGTCTCTCACTTTAATCTGATTTTTACATTCTTTGATCTCTGCGATGGCTGCTTCCAGGCCATACGTGCCCTGTTGTACAGAGACAGTGCTGTGATTACTTGCCCATCAAAAACAAAAAGCAAGTCTTTTTCCCGCTTTCTGTTTCAACGTGAACTCTTTTTGGGGTAATCAGGACGTGATTAGACATGGGGGAAGACAAACACTTAGCTTGTAGACCCAAAACACATGTTGATCACACCATAGTCACAGTGATTTCAATGTCTTTTAAAAGAAACAATGGACAAGGAATAACAAAACGTAAGCTCTGCTTCTGGGAATTTAAGTCTCAATTCATTCGATTTGGGTTTTTAAAATAAATCCTTGAAGTAAGCCAAAAGTTAAGGAAGGAGAAAGAGGAGTTGTTTGCAGACTTACAGACTCATACTGGCTCAAGCGGTTTGAGGCCTCAATGAGTGCTTTGTCTTTCTCTTCAGCGTGAGCTTCTGCAAGCTTTACCACCCACGCTGCTTCCACTGCTCTCAGCTCTGCAGCCTCCAGCTTGGACTTCAGCTCTTCCATCTTTCTCTGCTGCACGGACGATGGAAGGCCTTGGACAAGAAATGGAAATTATTTATAAGTAACTTCACAGACCTCAATACTTAGCTCAAGTTCACCTATCTTTAGCAGACACAAGTCATAAGCTATAGTTCACACTTAATTCAGCAAAAGGCTGAGATTGAACTGATATATGACTAATTTGGCGTGTAGGGGTGATACTACTGCTAACTTAGATCTAATGCTAAGCTACACTCTGTCTATTAAGGTGCTATAATTGTGAACATCCAGCAGGCACAGAGTAACATTAATATTCATTCGGAGTCATGTTTTTGGCAACTCAAGAATGAAAATCGAATATTGACTTTCCTGTTAGCTCCGTTTTGGTCTCCACCAACTCAAAAGCCTAACTCTACTTTTATCGTCACATACAATCATAGAAATATTTGACCTCTGCATTTAACCCATCCACAACATTTAGGAGCAGCTTGGGGTTCAGCGTCTCGCTTAAAAACACTTGGACATGTGGACGGGAGGAGCAGGGGATGGAATCTTGTGATTAAAGGACAGCTCTACCCCCTGAACCACAGCCTGAGGGAAACATCTGGCTCTTTAGCTTCTAAACGCTCTGTGGCTGAAGACAGCTGCCTGCTGCGGGCGAAAACAACCGTGATTAGAGCAGAGAGACTGAACCAAACAGATAAGTCATGAGCAATCTTTTGATCTATTGTATATAAAAGAAAACTGATTGCTGCAGCTGTAGATTGACCCTCAAAGAAGACGACTAGCCCCCACAGTGAGGGGGTTTCTCAATTATGCAGACACACATTACCTTATGTAACCGGTCTGTAACCTTTTGAACCAGTGTTCATTATTTGTTTAATTAGTTGATATAGTCTGATCCCATTCTTTTTTAAATAAAGTATAAAAGAACAACGCCTCTCTGTAATCTTTTTGGCCGTGTCTCTGTCTAGACGGAATATCTCTCTCCCATTCAAATTGTTTTTGTCGACAACATCAATAAATGACTCTTCTTGGCTTCCTGCTAGCAGGCCTCTTGTTGCACTTGGCATGGTGGGAGTGATTATCGTCTGCTCCCAACTGCTGTCCGTCTGTGCTGTCAGCAGTGGAACACCACGCTGTACAGATGACAGCAGAACGCGAGAGGCTCTAGCACTAAGTTGAAAGGAGTCTCGTGCACATAAATTAGGTAAATAACGTATGTAAACCATCATTTTACATCACAACTGTCTTTGGTACCAATCTTCTCAGTTAGGAATCTTAAACAGCGAGCCACCCACCTTTGTCTTTCCTTGTGGACGTCTTTAGCTCCTCGATGAGCAGGGTGTGCTTCTCCATTTCCCCTGTGTACTGCTCCACCTGCTCACTCAGTATCTTGATCTGAATATCTCTCTCCTGGACGGCCTTTAAGACATTCACCAACAATTTTAAATTAGGAGAATTTATGGGGAAAGACCCGAGCAGAGCTGCAGCGCACTGAATCATCTGCACTTTCATCATTAAGGGAATTTATGAGATGGGAAGAAAAAAAAGGTTGAGAGAAACAGCACAGATGGAACTTACGCTGCACAGCTCAAATATGACCTGGGCCAGAGCAGCAATAGAGAGATGGATGGAGGACAGGTTGATAAAGCATGTCAAGGCAACGAGAGAAAGCAGAAAGCAGGAAAAACGACAGATAGATGGAAGACCATAAAATGACAGTTAACTACAAGTCAGGACCCTCCTGCTCTACAGGACAAAAAACGAACTTTCCACATTAAAATAAGGATTTTTGTCTGTTTTGTTTAAAGCTTTTTTTGACATATTTGCCATGACAGCACATATGATGCTGTTTACCAGATATTTTTAATCATAGCTATTTAGTGTAATGAGAACTGAGTCAAATAATGTTTGTATTTGCAAATACTACTTCAGTACACTTCCTTCCATAAGCACATGGTTGAAACACTTCCATGTTAAAGTGATACAAATTCTTTTTTCCATGGATATAACATTTCATGGGGCGAGGTGCTCTAAAGAGAATTCATTCTTTGTAATTCTTAATTCTAGTTGTGGGACAGACCTGCTGCAAGGCAATAATGTTGCTTTTGTCCAAGTCCAACTGGGCTGAACGCAGCTTCTCCCTCTGGTCACGGATCATCTGCTGGTACACCAGAATTTCATCGTCCTTCCCAAAGAGCACTCTCTACGTGGGAGGAAGAGAGCATGTGAGCACAATGGAAGGGTCATGAAGACCATAAAGAAGCATAATGATGTGCACATTTACATGATTGTTAGTCACAGGAGCTAAATCAAGAAAGTTTGTCCTTTGTACGCATTCCAATTTGCCTCTTAAGTCACCTCTTAAGAACTGTGAAGTTATGGCAAATTAGTCCAATAACGTACCATGAAAAACATCAGCTTTGTTTGAAACAGCGACACAGAGGCCACAGTCCTCGTAATAGTAGTGTCCTGCGTGATATTTGACAGGATATTGTAAATGTGACGGCCCCTGCCTATGCTACAAGTGTACAAGTGTGATATTTGTCCCTGTGTCCCTGAAGGTGTCACAGAGTACTGGATGCAGAGCACCTGGTCCTGGAGCTCCCTGGGAATAAAAGCCCTACTCCAGTGTTGCTCTGGTCTCTGCTGCTCACATGGACTCATCCCTACCAGCGTTCATCATGCACACACATTCACGTTTACATCACTGATGTTACTGACTGACACACTTCACAATTGTAGCTATTTCTTTACTTCATTACAATAAATACTTTTGATTTACCATCCTCTATTGTGTTCTTTTCTGTATTTGTCATGGTCTAGGAGCCGGGTGATGACAAATTGGGGGCTCGTTCGTTTTTGGATGGTGTAGTTTTGTGCTTTGGGGCATCGGTGCCTAGTCGTGTGGTGTTGAATTTGTTTGTTTGCAGCGTTTGGGTCAACTAAACAGTAAAAACTGTTTGAAGATTAGTTTCATCGTTTGTGTGCTTCAGATTAAGATTAGATGAGCGTGTGCATAAAGTTAGTTTGGAGCGCTTTCGTCGCGCTTCCTTCATCCCTCTGTATTAAGATGAGCAGAGGAGGGACAGACTCAGACGTCTCAAACTATCTGCTGAAAGTTGAACAGATTTTTATGTGTGTCATAGTCTGTGACTGCATCGAGGCTCTTCGCTTCCTCGCACACTCGCTGTATTTAATGTTTTTAGATTAGTTGTTATATCAATAACATCAGCGGAAATTTCAACTTGATATTACTTCCTTGCTTCCACTGTGAATGAAGTTGTGCAGAATTTGGCACAGCCTTGAGGGATGTCAGTGCAGAAAACTCCACCCATATTTCATGGGCCTTCAGAAAGTGCCCCCCCCCCCCTTCTGCAGTCAAAAGGTTAAAAGGCTTACAATTCTTCTCTTGCCCTTTATTACGCGTAGCTTTAAAGTGCATCTGGCTTAGAGATAATAAAACGGACAAGCGGAGCCTTGTTGAGAGTTGGAGACGTTTGATTAACACTCACCTTCCACTCCTCCACTTTGGCGTTGACTGCTGCCATAATTGTGTCATCCTCTTCAGTCACACTATGAATCTTATCCGTTAGCTCTCTGACCTGCCCATCAAACACACAACCAAGTGTATACATACATGGCGGTCTTTTTTGCTAACGTTACAGGGAAATGATAAACGGCGTCAGGTGTAAAAATATATATTTGACACACAGATATAAGAGAAGTAAAAGAAGTTCTTTGAGGAGGTTCTTTACTTGCAGCTTTGCGTGATCCCTCTCTTTCCTGAGCTGGTCCATAATGGAGTCCGTCTGCTGTATAACGATCTTCATCTTGTTGTACTCGTCTGTCATCTTCTCCATCTCCCTCACCGACTCCTCCAGACTCTTCTGCATCTGCTCGTTCTGTGTCTTCAGGTGTGCGTTTTCATCCTCGGCTCGCTAATGGACGCCAAATTAAAAATAAATGAAAATAAAACCTTCCTTCACATCAGCAGTGAAAAATGGAGGTGATGAAAAACAGATGAAGCCGTATAAATAAGTGGTAGAAAATGTATAATTGAAAACAACGCTGGTTTTCGGCAGTACACAGGCATTTCTCCATCGCCAAGGTCCTTACCGTACTGGTACTGTTGCCAGCTTTTCTAACTAGTGGTCTGTTACCGCATTCACCAGATGGTTTAGCAGACAAATAGATGTCCAAGTACCTGAAGGTCCTCCAAGTACTGGTAGAGCTGTCGGTTGGCCGAGTTGAGCTTCCTCTGGGTCTCAGCGTTCTCGTCTCTGGATGCGAGCGGCTCCTTCTGGTCCAGCTCTCCGCGGTAGAAGTCCACATCCTGCTGGAGCTGCTCGTTCTGTTGTGGTGCAGGAGGGACAGAATCAGTCTGAGAAAAAGAACTGGATCCGGTGCCCTGTGCTCGCACGTTCATCTCAACACTCTACGTTTATTAATAAACAACGGATTTGTCTCGTGCTTGGATCTGAAACCGGTAGTCAGGTAATAGATAGAGAAAATTAATATGCAACAATTTTGAGAATCTAAATCATTTTCTTCAATACTTTTTCATGCAAAATAACTTCTGGTTCCTGCTTCTGGAAGGACTTTATCTTACATCATAGTGCATCGAACATATATATATATATATATATATATATATATATATATATATATATGTATACATATATACATATATA